ACACGCCCCACACAGCCCTCCCTCACTGCCGTGTGGTGGATGTTGCTCCACAACACACTGTGGCAGGACAGCAGGTCAATATCGCCAATGACGTACATTCCACACCTAGCCCTGGACAGAGCCACGCAGACCCGGTTGTCAGTCTTGAGGAAACCCACACTGTCATTTTTGTTACTTCTGACAAGGGAGAGCAGCACAATGTCGTTCTCCTCGCCTTGGTAGTTGTCTACCGTGGACACCCGCACGTTCTGTATCGCTCGTGTTTGTCTCACCTGATCACTTATTAGACTGACTTGTCCCCCGTACGTAGCCAGGATTGTTATCTCCTCTTGTAAATACCCCTGGACTACGAGGTACTCACAAAGCTTGATCAAATACTTCGCCTCGTAACTGTTTTGTTTACTAGCGCTGTTTTTCGCACTCTTCTCTGGGTTGTTGTGCTTGATAAAAAACACACTCTTATCCATCCCTTTAATATGGGGTCTTCCTTTCACAGACTCGCTGTCTGTAAGGTTTGGGTAAATGTGCCGCAGAAATATCGAAATCTCCGGTCGCATCCTGCGTTGCTCCGACAACTGAACGCAGTGTAGCTGGTTGTTGATCTGACGCTCGAACAAGGAGACGTCAAGTCCGTAATCCTTGGCCAGTTCGTAGACTTGTGTCTTCGGCCTCAGCTGTTGGTGATCCCCGATCAGGATCAGGTGTTGGCATCGCTCGCTCAACGCGGTGATGATGTGGGATTCCAGAACCTCCGCCGCTTCCTCTACCACTACGATTCTCGGGCCAACGGCTTGGAGAACTTTACGGTGTTTAGCCGCACCCGTTGTGGTCATCCCAACCACCTTAGCGGTTTTTAAAACATTGATATCTTGCATTTGTCTGATTTCACGTTTTGAAGCCAGCAGGCTTTCGTATTGTTCTGTTAGTTCTTTGATCTTTGACTTGTGCGATGAGACGGCTCTAGAGAGCCAGAGCTTGTACAGCTGGAAGCGTTGCTCGACGCTGAGCTGCCACACGTTGACGACCTTTTTCTCGTCGCTCTCAGACATGGCCTGAGTGACCTGAAGCTTGGTCACCACCTGCCTGTAGGAGAACTTGTTACCTCCCAGTCCAACGGCTGGTTGACTTGTGGTCAGCGACACGCCCAGCGCCATCGCTCGCCTAATTACAACTCGGCTGGTATCTATCCCATCCAAGGAATCGTTTTCACTATCACAATCCTCGTCGTAATCATCATAGTTTTCTTCATCATCACTCTCACTATGGTTTAAGCTGCAAGATGGCCGAAACTGCAAGAGATTTTCTATGACGTTCAACATATCGTCAACGGTTTTACCGAAAAGCCACTGTTTTATACTGACATTTTTAGCGGATATGTTTTTGATAACTTCAGGAGATATAAAAGGACGAAGACGCTTTAAAGGTAAAATATCTTGTCTGTTTGTCGGCCCAAATTTCCTCTCGTACTGAATCACCCACTCCCTGTACATTTGGAACTTGGTCTCATTCAAAGCAAAGTTCCCGGCCCATAAAAGTGAGATCAACCTTGTTTCACACGCCTGTTGTACATCAGTGTTTAGACTGCCAGGCTTTACTTTCAGGAACTGCTCCATAAAACTGGCCTGAGAATTTTTTGAAAGTTTGTGAGAGCGTCATAGTGTGAGTACGCTATCACCTCCTTAAGTTCCACCTCTGTCTGTATCTCCACGTGAGAAACTTGTACAGTGTTGGTGAGATTCAGAATTTCTCGCTTTAACTCATGCATGGATCGATGGATGTCCCGTAGACAGTTCCTCGTGGACAGAGATTCTTTTACACCTCGCTGAATAGCTCGTAAGTTAAAAGGTCTCAACGTCTCACATTTTTGGTTTCCTCCAACCCGGACGATGCCTGTAGGACAGAATGCCAGCACCCCCTCCAGGAACTGATCCAGTGCGTGGTTGGTGTAGCAGATGACCAGAATAGGGCAGCAATCTGGAACTCCTGACCCTTGGTTCTCCAACAAAGTTTTCATGATTTTTAAACTGACGTACGTTTTACCAGTACCCGGCGGGCCTTGGAGCAGGGTGAACTGTTGTGTCAGGGCCGCTTTAACTGCATCGTACTGCTTGTCGTTTAAACACACATGCTTCAAATTGAGCCAGGTGTTCGTCTGTAGGACGTTAACTTTAGTTGTCGTCAAGTACACCTCAGGCTTGACCAGGCATTTTAAGTCATAACGAGTGCCAGGGTAAATGTAATCTGGCTTCGATGGTTCTCTCTTGCAGCGGACAAGGTACGGCTCGAATGGTAAAGAGGAATCAACCATTTCTTGGAGGCCTTCTAGCACATATCGGTATCCTTCGAAGTACGACGGCGATTCAGTCATCACAAAGCTGTCCTCCATGGTCAGTCCATAGACCTCTTCCAATCGATTCTGGAACTTGACCGCTACATGACCACGTTGCTGCTCAGAGCGCGTGACGATGGCGTAGAAAATAGTCTGGAACTTGTTTTTCGACAAGCACACCAGGTTCCCAGGCATGAAGTGGTTTTTGGGGTCCCAGTTGATGGCGTCCAGCTGCTGCTTGTCCAAGCGAAGAGTGTGCTCGACGCCATCGTTGACGAAAAGACCAAGAATTTTGACGTTCTCGTAGAAAATTATACCTGGGTCTCCTTTGAATGTGCCGAACAGACGGTACTGGTGTATAGCTTCCCTCAGTGGCTGGATCAGGTCTTCTCTCAAAAGTCTGAACATGACATCTAAATAGTGGTTTTTATCTCTAAACGCACCGCTGATTTTGTTAGCACGAAGATAAGGCGTCAAATCAGCATCAAAGTCCGATTGAGTTGGATATATGGACACGTCTCTGATATCGCTTGGTGGATCTTCATCGTCGTCTGCCCACCTGCTGCGTTTTCGCTTTTCTTGTTTTTCTTGGCGCTGATTGGCTGAATTAAAACACGTGACCACTTCGTTTAGAAGTGTAGCTTGCACGTCGAGCTGGACATGCCTGCTGTTGATAAAACACAGCACTTTGTAGCAGCCACTGGCCTTATCTGGTAGTCTTCTCGCTGTCTCGTGTATGTACAGCAGCACCGTCTCTGCCGCTTGACTTCTGGTGTGTCCGCTGCTATTCTCTAAAAAACTGAAAGCGTGGTTGGTGTAGAAAGACGATGAGACCAGCGTGCTCAAGATTTTCTGAAAGTTGTTATCATGAAACTTAACCTTCCATACCGTGTTGAGGCATTTAGCGAACAGGACGAACTTATCATGGCTGATGTTATCGATGTTGAGGAAGAGAGAAATCTGGGGCAGGTATGATGTCATGTAGAGAAGCAAATCGGATGGGTTGTCTTCAAGGTCAGCCCATTCCTTAAGCTTCATATAGCCCAACCCCTCAGGGTTGGCGTTAGTTTGCCTGTATTGCCCCTGTGGCCTACCACCTCTAATACCTCTGTGACCTCTTTGACCTCTACCTCGCTGCATTGTTTTCTGTTCTGAAATTTAAAAAAAAAGCTCTCAACTAATTTTATGATCAATTATTCTATTGCATGAACGTATTACACTGATATAGCAGGTTAAATAGCAGTGGCGTAGCGAGGTCGGGTGTCACACGGTGCGGCACCTAATGGTGTCACCCTCCCCCAGTAAGGAAAAAAAAGTATACACACACACACACACACACACACACACATATATATATATATATATATATATATATATATATATATATATATATATATATATATATATATATATATATATATATATATATATATATATATATATATACATACATATACTCGATATACACTAGTAAGTATGTGTATACGCATGTGTATATGTTTTCAAATATTTTTTTTTCCTTCTGGATGTATTTAATTTTTTTACCCCCCCCCCCCCCACCCCATACATGGATTAACATATGGGTTATTTCGATTCTCAACCAAACCGTTTTCCTCGGGCATGTATATTGCAACGTTGAGTTGAAGTAACCCCCCCCCCCCCGGTCACCCCAAAGGTGACTGCTTTAAACTGTGCTCAGATAATTATAACGATTTGTATCTATATTCGGTTATAAATTCAGCTGGATGTTGCATGTTTTCTTTATCATTAGCAGGTCACCCCCTTCCCCTCCACTTTGTACACTTTGCTCTTAAAAGACTATTTGATTCACTCTAATTAATCATTTAATCAAGTGAATTTATCATATTTCTGTATATATTTTGTTATTTTTTGCCTTGATGTCACCCCCCCTTTCTAAATTGTGTCACCCGGTGATGCCCCCCCCCCCCCCCCCTCGCTACGCCTCTGGTTGGATGTACACTCTGGGTTACGAGAAGTACGGAGGGGCGATGATTGTTGCTAGATCAGGCTCGCGTCAAGTATTTCAGCAGTTTAAAATCTGGACTATGATAAAAGTCTTCAATTTAGACCAAGTTTCCTATTAATTGATAACAACCAAACAAAGTCGTATTTAAATAAAAGCAATTACCGAACATCATATAATTAATTTTGACATATTTATGCCGTCAATGATACCTTAAGTAACCTTAATCTAAACCAAGTCTTAACTTGTATACAAGCACCTACTGTACTAAAACTTATATTTCCTAACATCGAAACTAAAATACAATCTAACCGTAAATAATAATGTAAAAAATACAAGCATGGTAGGAAACTAAACAAAACCATCTGTATACTGACTTCATGTAACCTAAACTATAAAAAAAATGCCCTTAGGTTTTGTCCTTAATTCATCTCACGCTATTTTTTCTAACCCCCCCCCCCCCTCCCCACACACACACTTAATAAAATGGAAGCACAGCTCTATTAACTCTTTCCTTAAACCTTAAACACATCATTAAAAAACTAGTCACGTTAACCCCATACCATTTCACCAGTACGTATATATATATATATATATATATATATATATATATATATATATATATATATATATATATATATATATATATATATATGTTATTAACGTTATGTAACTTAACCAACGTACCTTTTGTACGGAATCAGGTTCAAACCAATGCTTGAGGTAATGTCCATGTGCACCGGCTACACCTATTTAAACAACACACACCGGGCCTAGCGTATTGTCTGCGTAAAAATCGATACTAGAAGTCTGTAGTTCTAGGAAACCGAATGACTCATACAAATTTTTCTACGCCCGCAACACAAAAGTGTTATTTAGATGAAACCGTAGAGTAAGCAGAAAATATGCATATTAACAAATGTGTACGCCTTTGTGCCTATATATATATATATATATATATATATATATATATATATATATATATATATATATATATATATACATACATATATACGTGTGTGTAAACCAAGAAATTAGATGTTATTTATAATACCGTATGTAACAACACGTAATTCTTCAAAATGAAACTGAAACTTCTAAGAAGAAATGATAATAGCCGTCCTAGATTTATGATTAGCATTCCTTAGCCTAGATTACGATTGGGTAGTCTGCTGTGTTGTGTGTTAGGGGAGAGGGGGGGGGGGGTGGGACTACTTTACTATCAACAGGAGCCTTATATGATTTACACATTTTCACTTGTCGTTTTACTCTCTATCAACAAGAGCCTTAGAAAATGTAGACATTGTCACTTGGCGTTTAAGGATGTGAATCCGTTTTAAAATTGTAGGATCATTCGTTATTCAATAAATTAAGTTTATTCTATGTTCGATGGCTTAACCTAAATAATGTTACGATAGGTATATCTTCTATGTGCGCACAAGTTTTTTTCCCCATAATAACCAATCCGATGACGACGAAAATGCTAAAACCGTTACATTTATTTTTTAGCAATTGGGCAGCTATTGAAAAACTTCATTGAGTGTGTGACATCATTTAAATTTACCCCCCCCCCCCCTTTCTTCTCCGCCCCTCGATCATCTTTCCTCCAGCGTGCCAAAGACACATGAGGCAGATGAAGTAGAGTTAATCTGTTTCAATGACCGTGGCCGTCGGGGACAGCACTATGTCCGGTCGCCTTAGTTTCCCTAACGTGAGTCATGTACCCATCAGAGCTGGGTAGACACAGGCAGAGGCATAGCGATGGGGGGGGGGGGGAGGGGGGGGCATATGCGCCCGGGCGCCGACCTTAGGGGGCGCCAAAATGGGTTGGAAAAAGTAATCGAAAGTTTGAGGGGGGGTGCAGATCAAAAGTTTGACGGGGGGGGGGATGCAAATCAAAAGTTTGAGGGGGGTGCAAATCGAAAGTTTGTCCCCGCGCGCCGGGTAGGGTCGCTCCGCCTCTGGACACAGGAACGTCTTAAGGACCCGGGACTCAAGCTCGAGACTTTCGGATTAGCACTTAGCAGTCTAGCGCTCTACCTCTAGACCACGCCCCCCCTCCCCACACACCCCCCGACAAAGGGCGCGAATCAATAAGAACTAAGAACTATCAATATTTTAAGAATACATTCCCTTGTTTTTGTTTCCTTCTGTTTAAAACAACATTTGTAATGGGGTTTCATATGTTTAGAAAATTCCTCCAAAAAATCTCCACGGAAAATAATTTTAAAAATTGGTTGGTTTAAAAATGGTTTAAAATAATTAGGTTACTCTGATATAATTTGACATGCTAATATGATCTATTTTAAAGTAGTTCAACTGCCAAGTCATGTACTGAATAATTTGATATTTAATTGCAACCACTATTAATGTTTGATCTATGTATAAAACAACAGAAATGTATAGTTAAATTAAAAAATAACATTTGTAATACATCAAATACAATTATGTGAACATACAATAATACATAGATCAAGATGAATTGGTCGTATCAAACTTACAGTTTAAAAGTAAGTGTGATTTTTAAATGAATTAGTGTTACTTACATAATACGTAATATTACATGTTAAAATTCTAATAATCAACTATAAATAGGTAATGACTTAAAGTGTTTCATTTTTAAAATGCTGTTGATTTAACCACTTTAATTACATGTATATGTTTGTTGCAGAATAAAAAGAGCAAATTAAACGTCTCGTTAATAAATAAAAGAAAGTTATGTAGAAATAATACATGTACAATTGTGAATATTTAAAGTTTAATGTGACACATTTGCTGTACAAAGTGAGCAAAATCTTTAAAATTGTAAGTATTTACTGTAAGCTTACATTTATCATGAGTGTAAGAAATCAATCGCCATGAACACATTACGTGTTATGCAATATCCTGTCACTAAAACAGGTGACCTCTACTCAGTGGCGTCGCTAGGTATATATATATATATATATATATATATATATATATATATATATATATATATATATATATATATATATATATATATATATATATATATATATATATATATAGGCCTATATATAGTTGTAATAGGTGTCACGTCAACCCCTACTATTTAGCCAAATGGAGTGAATTTGTGCTCACATTATTTTAGTCCAATTATATTTCAATTGGAAAAAAGCAACGTTTTATAGTAAATTATTAGATGTGGTGTTACAGATTTTTTTAACTCTTTAAAAGTAATCATACATTGAACTGGCGAAAAGCACGTTTCTTCTATATATTTTGCAAATTTTTGTCTTGGTGTCACCGCCCCCCCCTACACGGTGTCACCCTGTGCGATCCGCAACCCCGCCCCCGCCTCGCGACGCCTTTGCCTCTACTTCACCTGCCCATCGACCGTAAGGTTTACAAGGGTACTTTTTTTAACTTTACTATTTCTACGCCCCCTCCTACTGTCACCCTCTAGCAGCCTCTAGTTTTAGAGAATACGTTAAAACTTGCCAACAGTACAATAATATTATTTGTTCATAAAATATTAATGTTAATAATTATTAATTAGTATAGTTACATTATTATTTATGGGAAACATGTACGCAGACAAAAAAAATTAATTCACATTAAAACAACTGAAAATTATGTTAATAGTAAGAATTTCATAAAACCGTTTAAAATGGTATATTATAAACGAACTATAGAAAAAGTAAAAAAAAAACATTACACATTACTGATAGTTCTTTTAAAAAAAAATTGGAATAAATTTTTTTCCAATTTAAACTGTTTGCGTTAATAAACGACAATGAAAAACATTTTAATTTTTTTTCTTAGTCAAACTATTTTATTATCTTAGTTCGCTCTAAGGAAAAGACATTTTCATAGACTTTGTGGATTGAAGTTTTCAACCAATTTATCCGCGATGAACATCATTTGTCTCGATAGCTTGGATAAAGAGAGTGCCCTGGTTTTACGATCTAAACTCAAAATTGTCTCCCCCCCCGTTAATGGTCATTCTTCTTGAATCAATGCTGCCTCCTCTCGTAAAATCTGTGCAGGGAATTCTAATGGTATCACGATCAGCATTATGTCCCCTTGTCAAATCTGCGCTAGGCACTCCCTGTACATTTGGAACTTGTAAAATATCTGCTAGGCCTTCTAATTGTATCACGATCAACGTTATGTCCCCTTATTAAATCTGCGTTGGGCATTCTCATTGTATCACGATCAACATTATGTCCACTTGTCAACAATGGGCTAGATATTCTCCTCAATTCACGATCAGCATTAATCCCCAATGTAAAATCTTTGCTGGGCATTCTCATTGTAAAACCAGCAACATTATGTCCCCTTGTAAAATCTGCGTTGGGCATTCTCAGTGTATTACGATCAAAATTATGTCCCCTTGTAAAATCTGTGTTGGGCATTCTCAGTGTATCACGTTCAACATTATGTCCCCTTGTAAAATCTGCGTTGGGCATTCTCAGTGTATCACGATCAACATTATGTCCCCTTGTAAAATCTGCGTTGGGCATTCTCAGTGTATCACGATCAACATTATGTCCCCTTGTAAAATCTGCGTTGGGCATTCTCATTGTATCACGTTCAACATTATGTCCCCTTGTAAAATCTGCGTAGGGCATTCTCATTGTATCACGATCAACATTATGTCCCCTTGTAAAATCTGAGCTGGGCATTCTCGTTGTATCACGATCAACATTATGTCCACTTGTCAACAATGGGCTAGATATTCTCCTCAATTCACGATCAGCATTATGTCCCCTTGTAAAATCTGCGCTGGGCATTCTCAGTGTATCACGATCAACATTATGTCCCCTTGTAAAATCTGCGTTGGGCATTCTCAGTGTATCACGAGCAACATTATGTCCCCTTGTCAACAGTGGGCTATCTAATCTACTCGATTCACGACTAACATTGTCTCCCTTCGTTATATCAGTGCAGGTTATGCTCCTAGATGCCTTATCAACTTTATCCACCTTTGTTGAACATTTTCTTGATTTTCTCTTTAACTGGTGTTTTACAGATGCAGCATTAGCTGAATGTTTTCTCTGAAATATTTCTTTATCAGACCTGGACCTATGGAAAATAAGAGCACTCAGTTAAATGCTATAACTAAGTCTGTCTTTCAGTCCGTCTGTCTGTCTCTCTGTCTGTGTTTAAAATAATTTAAATTTTAAGAAGCGTTGAACTGCATCATACAACACAGTTTAAATTCAAATAACGTAGTTTACAAAAAAAAAATTTAATTAAAAGTATTTAAAAAGAAAGACAACAGGACATCATAAGGCAAAATACATTTGTCTTCAAATGGTAATTGTTAAATTAATATTTTAAATGAATCTTAGTGAATTTAAAAAAAAAATTACCCATTTAACAGTCGCCGCTGACATTCTGGAATGTTGGGGAATAAGGCGCAGTCTGATTGGTTGTTGTCCAATCGAGTTTTAGCCCTGACATCATCAGAGTTAAGTTTATCCATTGTTTGGAAATGCTCAGTATTGCGGGTCCTGTCATTCACAGAGAGCACATCACTAAGGGCTACTTCTCCAGAAGAAAAAGGACGTGTGCTGTGGTGCGTCACGTTACATTTTCGAGCATCATTTGTGAGGGCTGAAAGTTGTTTCAATCTTTCTCTTCTTTCATACCGCTCCTTTAAAATATTTTCATACCTCAGGCAATTTATAATGGGAAGTGAGCATTCAGGACACCCAATATATGATGTGCCATTTGGATTCAACGTTTTGATATAAGCATCTAGTTCTTCTACGTAAAAAATATGACCACAAAATTGAAGCTTTAGAAGTAGTCGCTCTTTTTTAATTGATCG